TGATACAGAGAAAATTTTAACGGTCTGTATAGTATAAATGCTTTCGCTAAAGACCTTCATATATTCACCTTCTGAATAATAATACTATTCATTTATTTCAAATAAAATTGCTTATTATAAATATAAAGCCAGTATAGTTCTAGAAAATAATGCGTTTAAAATATATTGGGATATGGCAATATATAATAGACCGAATATAACAATACTCGATAAAATAAACACACACACACACACACACAGAGACGCACACAGAAAAGATGTTAAAATACATAGACTTAGCTAAAATAAAAAGGCAATATCAGGTAGATATAGTTAAAATTGCACCCATTGTCATATTTACAACTGGTGTAGTCCCGAAGACTCTTCGAGATAGCCTAGACACACTGGAAATGCGGGAATTCTCCCTCACTCTCTTACAAAAAGCAGTCCTTCTTGATATATGCCGTGTCACATGCAAATTTCTCTCTTCATCATCATCTTCTGGCACACATGGCTATGGCCTAATGTGTTAGATTTTGTTACCCCTTTAAAATAAAAGGGAGGCCAGAAAAGTTATAAAAGATAAATATTAAATATAATACTTATTTAGATAAGGAGTACAATAATTTGTAGTAAATGGTTCTCTAATTTATAAATAAAATATATATGTTGTTTGCCCGAATTAGATTGAATCTGTGTCTCGAGCGGATAAATTTTCATTGTTTACTCTATATGTCAGAAGACTTACTCCTGAACCCAATCTAACTGTTCAATATTTGTCATAATCATTACGATTGTAACCAGATAGATATTTAAATATCTATTTGTTCTCAACGTATTCTCTATACACATACTCAAGGACTTTGCACTGAAACTTAGTTATTTTGCGCCTGAGGGCCGTGACCGAAGAGGCTGTGAGCTGTGGCGGCGTGCTGTTGGCGGTGTCATTGGACATCGCCAACGCATTCAATAGTCTGCCATTCAGCTGCATCAGGGAAGCACTCCACTATCATGGGGTGCCAAAGTACCTGAGGCGGCTAGTGGCAGACTATCTTGAGGAGCGAACCGTCGTGTACGAGGACCGAGATGGTAATTTGAGGTGTCGGCCCATGTCGTGCGGTGTTCCACAGGGGTCTGTTCTTGGACCCCTCTTGTGGAACATAGGGTACGACTGGGCCCTTCGCGCCGATTTCCCCCCCGGGCTGGGTGTAATCTGTTACGCAGACGATACCCTGGTGACAGCCCGGCTGGCAAACTTCCAAGAGGCGGCGCGCCTGGCCACAAGGGGAGTCTCCCTGGTGGTCGGGCGCATTGAGGCGCTGGGCTTACGGGTTTCCCTAGATAAGACGGAGGCCCTGTTATTTCATGGGCCCCGTCGTGGTCCACCCCCTGGCGCCTCAATCGTGGTCAACTCGGTCCTCGTACCGGTTCGGGCCCAGATGAAATATCTGGGCCTGATCCTCGACGGGAGGTGGCTCTTCGACGAGCACTTCCGACAGCTTGCTCCAAAGCTGGTCGGCGCTGCGTCTGCCCTAGGGCGACTTTTGCCCAATTTGGGTGGACCCAGCGTCGCGACAAGACGGCTGTACACGGGGGTTGTCCGGTCAATGGCACTATACGGTGCACCGGTGTGGGCGGCGGCTCTGACCGCCCAGAATAGGGCACGCCTCTGGCGCCCTCAGAGGGTAATGGCGGTCAGAGCCATACGCGGTTACCGCACCGTGTCGACGGAGGTGGCGTGCGCGTTGGCCGGAACTCCCCCGTGGGATTAGGAGGCGGAAGTGCTCGCCGAAGTTTATCGACGAGTGGCTGACTCCCGGGCGGAGAGCGGATTTCGCCCTCCGCCCGAGGATGTGCGCGAGTGGCGCGAAGCTGCTCGCCGAGCCACGATGGCTCGTTTTTCGTTCCGGCTGGAGACTCCACGCGCTGGCTTCGCCGCCGTGGAGGCTCTCCAGCCGGTCATCGCCGAGTGGGCAGGTCGGCAGCACGGGACCCTTACCTTCCGGCTGACGCAGGTGCTTTCCGGGCACGGTTGCTTCGGAAAGTACCTGCACTCGGTCGCTAGGAGGGAACTGAGTCCCGCCTGCCACCACTGCGACTGCAGTGAGGACTCGGCCCAGCACACGCTGGCGGTCTGCCCCGCATGGGCGACGCAGCGCCGGGCCCTCACTGCAGTCATCGGAGTGGATCTCTCGCTACCGGCCGTAGAACGCTCCATGGCCGGTAGCGACAGTTGTTTTACCGCGGTCGCAACCTTCTGCGAGGAAGTAATCTCGCAGAAGGAGGCGGCGGAGAAGGCCCGGGAGGAAAACCTTCAACCACCGCCTCATGCCGCGCTGAGTGTGGCCGCGGGTGGACGAGACGGGTTTTCCTCTCCACCGGCCAGCCGCGAGAGAATGTAATTTTTAATTACTTTTAAAGTGTAATTTAATATTTTAAACACAAGGAGTTTTATTGCATTATTAAAAATGCGTACTGTTATTGTAATACGAGACAATTTTCTACTATACCCTTCAAACTATGGAGAAAGGTATTTTTCTTTGAACGCCTCGGAAACTTTGTGTTTGAAATTATGCTGTAAATTGAGTAACTTTGCAAATATTGGAAAATGACATTTACCATCAAGATTTGACGTAGTTGGGAAACTTTGGGTAAAGGTTTTGTGTATATTGAATACACTCCTTTTTTATTTCAATGGTATTTTAGCTAAAGCAGCTAATTTATTTTCTTCTATCTAAGCAGCATACGCATTATAAAGCATTTAATTTCAAGTATTTTCTATTCTTATTTACGATACTTAGGCTCTTTAATACCCAAACGAAAAAACGAAAACGAAAATTATTTACGGCTTACCACTGTGCGCTCTTCAAGGCACTTTTTGCCTTGCACAACTAATCTGTGGAACAAATTATCGTATGCATATGTAAAATCGATTTAATTCACAATTCATTTGAGTGTTTTGAAATTTAGTATTAATTACAAATTCCAATTTCAAACACCTAACAACTACCATTACCTTTCCAAATCACTGTAAGTAAACAAAAAATCGAGGCTTTTTCTAGGAATCATAGCAAAATTGTTTTGTTTATATTAATTTATTTCCTCTTCAGTTTTATTACTGGGAATAAAGGTGTAATAGACCCGTATTCTTTGTTTACCATAAACAATGCTCCACTGAACTAAATATATTCACTTTATTGTAGTAAGTGGGTGTATAATGTGTTGACGTAAGTTCCTGAGAGACGCAGTTACCGATAATGTTGTTTCTTGGAATTACGTTGAATCATCTCTTGTTTCAATCCAATTCTAAAGAGCGACGTGCCCACGATTTTAATAAAAAGGTTTTACTTAATTGTATAACAAGTATAATATTACGAAATCACCCAACCGCTTTCTATTGCGTTGAGTGTTGTGTTTTCGATTCCCACATAGGACAATACTATGTGTGGCCCACAAATTGTTGTTCTATGTCTGAGTGTTCTTTGTATCCGTTTGAATGAATGTTTGTAAAATCCACCGCGACACATATATACGTATAACGGGTATTTTATGGTTTAACAAAAAACAAATTTATTGAGATGGCAAAAAAACAAGTGAACTCGCGACACTTATCGTTACCGACACCTCTGTATATAAGAATGTAACTTTTCACTTCTGTCGGCACTCCCGGAGTGCTTTTTTTTTAATAACTACTGCACTACGAATATATCTTGTGTCGCAAGGGACTATACACGTTCACAACATTACACAACATTAATGAAACAGACACAAAGAACACCCAGTCTCAGAACAATAATTTGTGGTTCACACAAAGTGTTTTGGGTACATTCATTTGTTGTCGAACAGCTTAATGCCAAACACTATAAATTTGATATCCTACTGCATTGTGGTCATCATCATCATCATTATCATCATCAACAGTCCACTGCTGGACATAGGCATCTTTTTAGAAAGGAGGTTTTGGCCTACTACACCACGCTGGCCAGACGGGTTGGTTTGTGTCAAGTTTTCTTTCTCTCTACAGTGCTGTTGTTCTGCGTAGTTTTCTCCCTTAGTCGGCTTTTACGACCCCCACGGGATGAATAGGGGTATTGACACTCTGTATTCTTAATCCGTCACCACACGGACAGCATTTTGGTAATTATTTGTAATTCAAAAGTTTCGATGTATGATTAACAAATTGTTGTTTAATAGCGCGCAGCGTAGTTCTGGTTTCATATTTAAATTTGAGTACCTTTTAGTAACTTTATCTTTTAATGATGCTGCTCACGAATCATAGCTTTAAATTCTATGAAGTAAATTAAACTGCAATTAATTTATTCATTTGTCAGTAAGGGTCATACTCGCCTGACGGTAACGACTGGTCACCATTATAACGTATTGTAGATAGCCGAACGCAACGTACATGCAATGAACACCATATAAAATTTTATCCTGGGATCATGCTTCGGCGCATAAGAGTCAGACTCGACCGATGCGATATCATCACGTCACAGGTTAGCGGAGCCCTCACCTGGGAGGGGTTGATCCTGATTCTGAGGGCCTGTCACAAAGGCAGTAACGCACTTGTGGTTTTAGAGTTGCAAGTGTTCATGGGCAGCAGTATTCACTTACCTTTCCTAACCCTTATCCTGTCTGCTCGTTTACCAGTTACTAGTTTAAAGTTTTTTTTTACACATTCACACACCACCTTTTAGTCCCAAACTTAACAGAGCTTGTACTATGAGTACACAGATAACTGATAAAAAAACATATATATTTTGGTAAATATATACGTATTATACATAGATACATATACATATTATACATAGAAACACCCAGACCAAACCAAATATTAAATGTTCATGCACATAAATGTTTGACTTGAGCGGGAATCAAACCCGCGACCTCTGAAATAGCAGTTCGTCACACAAACCACTAAACCATCCATCATAAAAAATACAATTGTCTTCATCTTTAGTTTAGATCTTTAATTACATAGTATAACGTGTTTTATAATCTAATTATTCTTTTTTATACAGGGTGATGACACAAATGCGTGACTTGGGCGTGGTGGCATTCTTCGGACCTGACGGTACCTGCCACACGGAAGCCAAGTTAGCAGCCGCCTGGAATCTCCCTCTTATATCTCATGTAAGTTTTGTATACACCTATACTTACATATTGCAAACTTATATAACTCTAAGGAGACAAATAAGTATACAACCCGACTTTTTATTAGTCGCTCTGCCAAATGCCCTTCATGTAGCCTTGTAAATGTTTTGTAAAGTATTGTATAAGTATTCAAAAAATTAGAAATCGACACGCGTTCGTAGTTTGTTTAGGGTGTCTTATTTTATTTTACTGACCAATATAGTTTGAACTGTCACTGTATAGACTTCTTTACTTTAGGCAGTCAAAATATATACTGAACACATATAGTTTTATGTGGTTGTTTTTATAAAAATATAAATTTGATAACCTATTCTATTATAACCTATTACATATATTGTATGCTTTTGTGCGTTTTATTTATTAAAAAAGAGGTATAAAGAATGTTTTTTTTTAGGTATTAATATATTTATTATGATAACACACTATATAACTCAGCACTATTTACAAGTAAATTGACTATAACCTACTATATTTGAGCGACATTTTTAATTTACATTTTAACAAAATACTGTGGAGTACTGGAGTTTATGATTTTTTAAATTAAATCATAACTGTCCACAATTTTTGTTACCTTAATTAAAAGCGTTGTGGATTTAGTTGGAATATTGTTCAAGGATATTTTTTATTCTATTTTAGTATAATAGAAGTCTATTGTCTCGTTAAAACTTAGTTATTTCTTTTTCTGTTAATGTCTTTTGTGTTCAAATTTCACTTAAAATTACAAGTACATAACGTGATTTTATTATTACTTAAATCATGCAAAGTTTAAGCGATGTGAGTGATTTTTTGGCTACAATACTTAACTCGTAGCACTTAAGGCTACGTCGTAGCAGATCATCGTTCACGTGTCTACATTGGTTGTGTGAAGTACGTACAAATGTAAAAATAGGAAACAATTTACGAAAACATGTATTATTTGAGAGTTGGCTATTATTTTTATCCCTGTAACACTTTTTGTTCTCTGATATAATCCATTCGTATCAAAATTCCCTAAAATTCCACCGCCTTCAGCTCTATAAGGCGCAAGTCCGGCTGCATATGGAATACTGTTCTCATCTCTATGCAGGGGCACCTCAGTACCAGCTTCTCCCTCTGGACCGCGTCCAACGAAGAGCGACTCGAAACGTCGTTAGCCTAAACATCTCCGATCGGTTCGATCAATTGGCGTTACGTAGAGATGTGGCTTCACTCTGCATTCTCTATCGCATATATCATGGAGAGTGTTCCGAGGAATTCGTTCCATCGTTTCACACGGAAAAATTTTCATCCTCATTACCTGGATAGTTGGCGCTCCACTACTGTGCGCTTTTCGAGACACTTTTTGCCCCACACAACCAATCTGTGGAACGGGTTATCGCCTGCGGTATTTCCGGACCGATACGACCTTCAAACATTCAAGAAAAGAGCGTACTCCTTCGTTTGTGACACTTGAGTTGCAGACGAGAGATGGGGCAGACGAGCAGACAGGTCACCTAATGGAAAGTGAACGCCGCCTATGAACGTCTGCAACTCAGGCGTCACAAACAATAATGCTTCTCTATACACAGTATTATCCATACAGTACAGCTAACGCTCGATAGAGCCATATAGAGCTGATCGTGTAAAAACAACCAAGAATATTTGTGAAATCGAATCGATCGAACGAATACAGAAAAGGTTTTTAGTAAGATCCCTTCTAGCTTATAACTGATAGCTAAGAACCATCTTGATCACATCGGCTTTCGAACAAAAAAATCCGCATCGAAATTGGTCTATCTATTCGGGAGTTATGATGTTCTAAGTATCTTATTACCCGTGTATAGCTCAGTTGGTCAACTACACTGACAGGATCTTTAAGACCAAATTTGGGTTCGCCAGTCATATCAGAAATCTACAGTAGGGTTTTCCATCGACGGACATGGGGGCGAGAAGCTTTAAAAATAGTTTTTTTTTTATATTTAAGTGATAACATTAGAAGGAATATTTATAATATGTAGTTGCAATAGACACAGTTTCGATTGTTTGAAGTATTTAAATTATAAAATTACTTATTCAAAAGGTTTAAATTACTCAAATTATTGTGAAGTGTTCTGAATAAAGCCTATTAGAATTATTATTATTTATTCAGTTAGTTTTATATGTTAAATAAAACTTGATTTCAATTGAAATGTGGTTGCAGCACTATCTGCTGGCGGTTTGCGAGAGAATATTGTTTGTTTTATCTTAAATAAAGGTAATTTTAGTAAAATAGGTCGTCTAAAGAAAATGTTGAAATGTTTTAAGGAAAATGTCTAAATAAGTCGTTTGAATTAATTAATATGTTTATCTTTGATATTGAGCCATATTTCAGTTGTAATTTATTTGTTGATAAAAGATACTGTAATTGCTATAATAAAAATAATAATCATTTTATTGGAGTAACCATGACTCATTGCTTGTTAGTAATACATAAAACTTATCCTATGTTAGTAGAGACAATTTACAATATTTTTATTTATGCACTCCATGAGAGACGGCGCTGCAGTGACCCATGTACCTGCAATCTAAACTCTCTGTGATCATGGCTAGTATGCTGTTAGAGCTAGCCCGCACCCTGCGCACCAAAGATGCACACCGTTTTCGCATAACAGTGTGAAAGCAGTCCACTCGCACCTCTGTGAACATCCCGGACGCACTACAGAAGCGGGGTAGCCCCAACAGCACCCTAAATGCATTGTTGTATTGAATACGGAGGGAGTTGTATGCTTTTCGAGTATATGTAGCCCACAGGCTGCACGCATAGAAAGACGTGCAGTAAGCTCTGAAGAGTGTGATCTTAACATTATTCGAACAATGTGTAAACCTGCGGCTCAACATGTTCGCTCTCACCGACAACGCCCTCCGTTCCCCTTCCAGATCCTCATCGTCTTTGAGGCTAGGAGTTAAAATATGCCCTAGATATCCAAACTTAAATACCCTTTTCAATGGATGCCCATTTAAAAGTATCTGTGGCACATCCTTAGGGCCTCTACCCCCAGCCTCAAAAACCATGACCTCGCTTTTCTTAACATTGTACACCAGGCCATGTCTTTCGGCGTACTGCTATAACCTATTGCTATAACCGTTGTAGAAATTACAAATACAGGGATGTCATAGTGAAACGACATATCAGATTTGCGATCGCACAAGAATAAACAAGTGATGAGTTCGTGCTTTATTGATAGTGTGAACTCTGACTTAGTGCCGACAGACCCTCGTCATCCTCGTCTTATTACACACAAACCTAGAGTTGAGTTGCGTGGTTAATTACTTTTTAATAGTTAAATTAAAACTAAAGAACTGGTTACAAAATCGGCAACTTTTAATAACTTTCTAAAGAACGATCAAGAGGTTTCATTAATAAAGCATTATTTTTCTAAATTGAACTTTTTACTTAAAACCCATCAGTGGATATTTGAGATGGCTGAAATAGAAATTTAGGTTAGATTATGTTATTCTAAGAATAGTCGTCTATTTTTTGTAGTAAGTACCAATTAAATTCAAAATTGTGTTTATAAGAAAACTCTGTGTTTTTTTTGTACACTAAAAGTATTTCCTAAATTATTATATTGTCCTAAAGGTATTTTAATTTAAAATGGGAACAAGCTACAAAATTTGTATTGCTCTTGTATGATATGTAGGGCCAGCGTGTTGTAGTAGGCCAAAGCGTCCTTTCAGGCATATATCCAGCAGTGGATTGTTATAGGCTGTTGATGATAATATTGATGAGCAGATGGGTCACCTGATGTCAAGTGACTACCGCCACCAATGGGCACGTGAACGAAAGAGTCATAAGCTCATTGTCGCCCTTTGACTCCTCTCCCACTGATCCTTTTGGGTTCTGTTAATCTCAATCACTCCGTAAAAAGCAACGAAAGGAAAGCTTAACACTAGTTTTCTGTGAGAGCGTGGTATCACACCGGTCGAGCCGGTCCATTTGTGCCGAATAATAGCTCTTCCACGGTAATTCTGTTTATTACTGGAACCTTCTGTCTGTCTGTCTGTCCTTGGCAAAATGCAAGCGTGCTAATTCACCGAGCTGTGTGGCGCTCCTAGTTCAGTTAACAATAGTAGTTATATTTTGCTTTAAACATTCCTCAAAGTTATCATTGAATATAGACACTTAATATTTTATTCACCTTGTAATAAAATAATTATAAATCACATTCTTTCCCAGAAATGCGCCGGCGCACATGGTTCCGAAAAAGGCTCGGGTCTCGGTGCAACCTTTGCGAGGACTTTACCACCTGCCTTCAAAGCCTCTAAGTCGGTGATAGCGTTGCTGAAAGCCTTCAGTTGGAACAAGTTTGCCATCATTGCCGGAGATGAGCAGACTGCTGCTGGACAGCAAATGGATGCTATTAAGGTTGGTAGAAATTCAAATGGTAACTTACTAGCTGCTGTATCACATTTTGGTTGCATTGATGAGAAATGAGGATTAAACTGATGTGAAAAATAGATAAAAATAATCTCTGAAGCGGTTTGTATATCGTGACAAAATTAATTGTTATGTTCCTAATTGTTGTAGCTTTCCACTTGTCTTTTAACTTAAGTCCCAACATACTTCTTTCCATTCCTCTTTGGCATACTCCCAGTTTGTGCTCAATTTTTTGTGTTAGTAGCCAGGTCTGGCAGCCGTAAGTGAGACATGGAAGTATACAAGTATTATAGATGGTTTTCTTTTCCGAAATGGGTACAGATTTATTTTTGATAATTTCCCTGAGGGACCAGTATCTTTGGCAGGTATTATTTACTCGTCTTTCTACTTCTTTAATTGATAAATCTTCCACAGATATGACTTGACCCAGGTTTATATTTATTAATTTAATTTAAATTATTAATTTACCTGGATAAAAAATTTATACAGATAGACAAATAAATTCTACTTTTGTGTTCTATCCTTTGCTTGGATGTATATCATTGATCTTTTCTGTGCCAAAACCCTTATTAACATCTTCTTATTAACTTATTCTATACATCTATACCCTATATACTATACCTATATATGACTGCACGAATGGCGTAGTGGTTTAAGCAGTCGCCACGCTGCTTACTACTACGCTGAGTGTTGTGGGTTCGATCCCCACATGGGACGACACTTTGTGTGATCCACAAATTGTTGTTCTGAGTCTAGGTGTTTTTTGTGTCCGTTTCATGTATGTTTGTAAAGTCCCCCGCGACGCAGGATATATTTCTAATGCAGGAGTTTTCTTTTTCAAACTATTTTCAAACTCTGAACAAATGAATAATATTGAAGTGTCTGTTTGTAATATAAAAATAATAGGTTTTTTATGGTTACACGGTTATTTGCACGATACCTATGCCTTAAACCAGTTTTAATATTTTTTCTCTCTGGCTATCCGTCTATTTGTTTCGGGTAATCTTCAAAACGGTCGGACGAATTTTAATAATATTTTACTACCAGCTGGCGTTATATAGGTCATCATAACGCTTTTTTTTTTGCCGTAATTATAAGTTGCGGTTGTAAGACATTTTAATAATTTTTTTGACGTGAAAGTTGACATTTTAAATTTGATTTATAAGAATGATATTAGGGTAATGAGTATTAATATTAACAATATTTTGAACATCTGACACATAACGCCACCTAGTTTCTAACTAAGCAGAGCTTGTACTATGAAAGCTAGATTGACTAATAGAATGCTGACATACTTTTTTTGTAAATAGATACACACATATGATACACAGAAAACACCCAAACTCGGAAACATATATTTGCATATCATACAAACTTTTTTCCGACCAGGGAATCGAGCCCGAGACCTTTTTTTCTGTCTGGGGGAATGCTTTTCGCACCATACCCTCGGGAAATAGAGGACGTGTACCGGAGAACCGGTCTACCCACTAAACCCTAAACCTAAAGTTATGCTAAGTTTTTATTGAAGACTGCGGCACCCAAAACAAACAGAAATATGAGCGGTTGAATCGCAGATGATATGCTTTGACAATCATAATATGAATACAAAACACTTTTTAGGAACACATCAAATAATGCCTTTGTGTTTATTCAGAAATCTAAAACATAGCTCGGAGGCATTTGTATAACACCAGTTCCAATACCATTTAGTATGTTATGTATGGATTGTTTATTTCTTTTATCTGTGTCCATATGAGCCGGCTCGATCAGGGGAATTCCATGATCTCACGCAAAACCTATGTTAAGCAAATCTTTTACTGCTTTTCACTGAGTGAGTGAAGTTTCTGGAGTGCCACCTACCCCCTCCTCCTAATAGGGGGAGGTCATTCCGACCTCAACGGACTTGCTTTTTTCTATGATAGAGGGGGCAGACGAGCAGACGGGTCACCTGATGGAAAGTGACCATCGCCGCCTGTAAACGTCTGCAACTCAGGAGTCACAAACGTCCCGGCATTTTAGAAAGGAGTAAGCTCTTTTCTTGAAGGTCGTATCGGTCTGGAAATACCGCAAACGATAACCCGTTCCATAGATTGGTTGCGAGAGGCAAAAAGTGTATTGAAAAGCGCACAGTAGTGGAGCTTGGGGATGAAAACTAAGAAGAACTATGGCGGAAAGTTGAGGCACTCTCCATGATATGTGTGATAGAGAATGCAGAGTGAAGCCACATCTCTACTTAACGCCAATGGATCGAGCCGGTCGGAGATGTTTTCGGCTATCGATGATTGTGTCTCTTTAACTGCACGTGTTTATGGGCGTCGGTACTTATAATATTCAAACAAAAACAGATTACAGAGAATTTTTTATTTTTATTTGTCCTAGATCTGTCCAATAAATTTAAATGCTCGAAAAAACACGTAAAGAAATTTTGTTTATCCTCCATTACGGTATCTACATTTTTGTGCCCGTAAACATCTATTTATAGAACTGACACAAATATGACATAATAGGATATTTTTTGGCTCATCTTCGCGTCATGTGTTTTGTTTAGAAAATATCTGGTATTTAAATAAAAGTGTTTTTTTTATCCTAGTAGTAGTGTCCTAGTAACTCCTGAGTTGCAGGCGCTCATGGACGAAGGTAGTTACTTTACTTTTTTACTTTTCATCAGGTGATCTGCTCGGTTGTCCATTTCATTGAGAACAATATTAAGTATGTTTATAGTTTTCTAAAACCTTTAGTAAAAGCTAGGCTTAGTTTCAGTGGGTACAGCTATATCACATCAACAACTTTTAATAGCCCACTGCTGGACATAGGCCTCTCCTTAGGAAGGAGGTTTCAGCCTACTATACCACGCTGACCAGACGGGTTGGTATAGGGTTTGTTTCAAGTTTTCCTACTCTTTGCAGTGCTGTTGTCCTGCGTAGTTTACTCCCTTAGTCGAATCTTACCACACCCACGGGATCAATGGGGGTGGTGAAAGTCCGGTTGCAGAAAGAAGTACATTTATATACGTATTTTTAATATAAATGCTGTATTCTTAATATTGCTAGATGTGTGTTTAAAAATAAAATAATCTACATGTTTAAATATAATATAAATATGCATGTATGTATTTGAGTTACTGAACTTCTCTTAAGCCACTGGTCTGATTTCGATTAAAGTTTTTATGTATGTTAAAGTGGTTTGCGCTGCAACCAGATTTTATAAATATTGTTCTTCTATTTTTTTGACCAGTGTTACTACAATTTTTCATTTATTATTTTTTTTAACTATAGAATTCAGCCATTACTTAAAAAAAACTAACGTACACTCTTTTTGGGTATCAAAAGTTATTTGAAACGGTAATTAAAGTGGTCATATTATAAATATTGATATGTTCAATGTTACTGCTGACAGGAGCTTGCACAAACCAACGGCATGGTGATAACGGCTGAGCACCGCTTTGCAGACTACATCCCTCTCCACATCTCTGAAATGGAGCGGATCGTGGACCAAACTTATGATAAGACAAGAGGTAAGAAGCATTTTTTGCAGTATTCATAGCGTCTAGTTTGTTGCCTCTTCCTTGCATTCTCGTCATCAGCGTTAAACGCGACACGATAACACGGTAGTTTAAAAGTTTATCCACGTTTTTTCATGGCATTATACAGATTTCCATGAAAAGTTTCCTTTTTCAAGAACTTTCGACCCAGTGGCTCATTACACTATAGAAAACTACAATTAGATAGCACTAATTGAAAACTGTTTTCATTTGTGTTGGTGAGTATCGGCTTTGCTCAGTGGTGACGGCTTACAGGTCAGTAAGTAGTAGTAACTATGGGCTTAATACCCATCATGAGCACGTTAATCCCCGTAAATATCCATACTTATATTATAAATGTGAAAGTGAGTTTGTTTGTTTGTTACGCTTTTAAGCCTAAACCACTAAACCGATTTTAGAATTTCTTTCATCAATAGAAAGCTACATTACCAGCAAGTAACATAGGCTACTTTTTAATGCGATTACTTACATACAGGCGGGCGGAGCCGCGATAAAATGCTAGTAATATATTAGAATTAGACCAGCTAAGATATACGATCCTTGTACATTTTTATCATCACAAAGTTCTATAAAAATCCAACATCCGTTTATAAATGGTAGGATTTTAGGAAAAAAAGGTTAAAATAAAATTAGGACTTAAAAAACAAAAAGATAAACAAAAAACGATGAAATCAGTTTCGTGGCAATGTTATCCTTATGTTTGTAACTTAAGGCCAAATAAAAAGTTTTAAGCGTTGGCTGACAATATCTGTACTATAGGTAGGAAAAAGAAACGAAAACATGAGGTTTCTACTTAGTAATAAAAAAAAGGTTACAAACATAAAATTGTTTCGCAACCATAATCCTAATAAATGTAACTAAAGCCCTCTAAATGAGTTTTTAGGGTTGTCAACTGTACCATGTGAACACACATATGCTTATTATAAAAAAACTTGTCACAACCTATGATATACACACAGTATAGCATGAATTTGCTGTCTTGGGATGAATGAAATGCTTTTGTCTTATATCCAGCGTAATTGTCATTCGTAGATCCAAACATGACACACGAATAACTTACTTTTCAGTGAATGAGAAACTCCTACGAAACCCTTGCTTCGTCATCATGACACATCCTTCATTGTATAACATCCATTGTCACATCTATATTCTGTCATCTGAAACTGTATTAACATTTTAGTACATTCCTATAATATGTTTAAAAATATGTTTAAAAAAGCCGGTTAGACGTGATTTGCAGTTTAAATCAAGAATAGAGCGTACTCCTACCTTAAAGGCAGCAACACGCTTGTGACTCCTGAGTTGCAGGCCTTCATGGGCGGACTTTGGTCTATATTCTGTAAGCGCGCCCTTATAAATAAGTTTGAAACTCAGTTACGCGTCCAATCTCGCCGTCCTATAGATATTGCTTATTTATAATGAAAGCAAAATTATTTGGCATCGCATTCGGCTGCTTAAATAATAATAAGGAACCGGAAGTCACGTTTTTCACATTCAAATGATATTTAAAGAAAAGAATAGATAAGAGTTAAAAAAAGAGGCAACTTTCAGTTGAATATAACTGTAGGTGATTAGCGCTGTGCAACCTACACTGTACTTTATTGTTTCGGAGTAGTTTTTTTGCGTCTGCGAATCTTGTCATTGATATTATTATGTATTCTGTGGTAAAAGTTTATACGCTTATGAAAAGGGATGATGGCTTTCGTGCATATGAATAACTTGAATATACACAAGAAAGTTTAGTCTAAAAATAAAAAGTTATTTAGTTTATTTTATGTACCCCGAAATAATATTCAGACATTGTGTCCGTCGTATTTAGACCGTCTTGAATATGTTCTTTGATTTAATTACTTCAACCGTCTTTTTGTATCGGTTTTGGTACCATGACAGGTCAAACTATATACTTCCCCTCCAGGCCGGAAGGGGGGTTGGTTCACTGGTTTTCTTTGAGGCCGTGGTATCCCTTCGGTCAAAACAGCCTATCTGTGTCAAAGCATAACTCTAAGGATCGGCACCAAATTCAGTAATTTGCTCTAATTAATTAATTTGCTAAGTAATGTCTGTAACTCTTGACTACACGGATTGCGTAGTGGTTTAAGCGGTCGCCACGCCGCTCTCTACTGCGCTGTGTTATGGGTTGATCCCCACATGGAACTCAACTTTGTGTGATCCACAAATTGTTGTTCTGAGTCGGGGTGTTCTTTGTGTCCGTTTGTGTTATGCTTTTAAAGTCCCCAGCGACACAGGATATATTCCTAATGTGGGAGTTTTTTTTTTTAAACGAATACACTCTTACTAATGCACGCCCGGGCCATTACCTGAATTGTTTATAACCTTCACAATATCAATATAGATTAGCGCAGTATCATCTGCGTATTATATCTTATAAATATATAATCAGGATTGAGTACCCGGGTACGTGTTTAATTCGTGATTACTTGAATATCTCGTAATTGAAGTACTCGTAAATGAGGTTTAGGTGTGTGAGCGTAACAAACAAACTTATTTCACATTTATATTTTAAGTATAAAAATATGGATGTCATCAAACATGACCCTAAACAACTCTACCGTGGAAGAGCCATGCTTCGGTACAAATGCCGGCTCGACCGGAGTGATTCCGCGGCCTTACAGAAAACCGGTGTTAAGCAATTTTTTCGTTGCTTTTCACTGAGTGAGTGATGTTACCGGAGCCCAAATCCCGGAGTCCAAGGGCGGCAACGCAATTGTGACTTTTGAGTTGCAGGTGTCCATAGGCGGCGATAGTTGCTTACCACCAGGTGAACCGGCTGCTCGTTTGCCCCCTTATACCATAAAAAATATATTTAAAAATAAATCATTTGATAACTGACCCTAGTTATCAAATACAAATAGAGACTTTTTTTATATTTAATAGTAAGTAGATCGGTCAAATGTTATTTAAAACTTACAAGTAAACTAATATCCAAATTTCAACACCAGATTATTATTTCTATTAGCTATTGGGTTACTATAGTACAGACTCTGTCCAAATAAAACGATTCTGCTTTAATAAATGGTCCGAGGGTTTTTCATGAATAATCTTCAAAGGCCGATTTAAAATTCTACTCACTTTTTACTCTGACAATTCTTTTGGTTTCTTTTGACGATTACTTGAGAAGGTAAGTATTCCACAGTTCGTGTAGTTAAACTTTAAGGGGTGAATTATTTTTCTATATGTTACAGAAGTAAGTAAAGTCTCATACATGCACTTTGCCAACTTTTGTGTGCTCCTCCCAGAATTAGAAAAAGATAGCTTTGTCCCTCCGATAACTTCATTCAATCAGTGAACAAAAGAATTGCGATTATGGCCCGGTTGAGCCGATCCATAATTGCCGAAGCATGGCACAAAATGTTGCGAAGTTAGTTTATAAGCCTTTTACTATTTACCTTTTCTATTCATTATACAATAAGCTATTTTTATTGCTATTGTTGGCATCCTATTAGTCATAGGCACTCTTAATCTTAAACAAAAATATTGGAGATTGATTTGTTAAAAAATATTTAATCGATGCAGAACTTTTTAAGTTTTTGGAGCCTACACAAACCAACTAAACTTTTTAATATATACAGATAGTAAGTTAAGTATAACTAAACTTATTTTTAATGTTAATGTTTATACTAACAAATTTTTATTAAACTTGTTAACTCATGTTTATTTATATATATGAAAAAAAATGTTAATTAAAAGGTAGTGCCAATAACTGATCAAAGAATCCTTAAAGTGACAAATATTGTATAGTTTACCCTAAATAAAGGAATATATTTAACTGATTGTGATTACTATACAGACACTTAGAGACATGACAAAGGCGAGTGGTCTGTGCAGTTTTGTAATGTCGATACCTGTTCGCTTCAAAACTTATCCAATGATTTATTAGTCATCAACTAGCACTCTTAACGCGTTTATTTCGGATTTTAAACTTTCATCTGTATTTTGAATGTAACTCCTAAAAGCAATAAATGCTAAATACTAGAAATACTTTGGTTCTTTCAAGTGAAATAAATATTTGGGACGTTTTGGGATACTTAACACACAACGCCATCTAGTTTCAAACTAAGCAGAGCTTGTACTATGAAAGTTAGATTGACTGATAGATTTTTTTTTGTAAATACACACATTCTGTTTGCAGATCATACAAACATTTGGTCTGACCCGGGAATCGAACCCGAGACCTTAGCACAGCAGTCACATACGCTACCTACTGCATCAACGAGACAGTAAATCAAGTTCTTTGAAGTTACATGATATTTGTATAAAACTAGCTTTTGCCCGCGACTTCGACCGTGTGGTGGTCGACATCAGACATCGTAGAGGATACAATGAATCAAGATTATAAGTATATGTTTAAAAAGGTACACACTAAAAAGTATTTACTGGAAGATTTTAAACGGTACTACAAAAATAACGAAGTTTCATATAAATTTCCAAACCCCATTTTGCACCCTTAGGGGTGGAACTTTTAAAAATCCTTTCTTAGTGCACACCTACGTCACCTAAGGAACATTTGTTTAAAATTTCATGCTTCTAAATACATCAGTGTGCGTTGATCGACCAGTCAGTGAATCAGTCAGTGTCTTCTTTTATAGATACAGATTATTCTTGTTGAAGTATTTACAAAGTGATCAATACTAGACGATATCGAAGTTCTGGAGAAAGACTTCTTGATGTTTTAGTGGCTCCAGCTACCTGCTCGCGAAGGAGACGGCGGAGCGGGACCGGGAGAGGTTTAAAACTCTCCCGGCCCGACAGGTACGCAGGCGACTCAGGCGCCGGAGGTCGCAGAACGACCTCCGTCCTCCATAAGCGCAGGCCTGGGGGTGACAGGTGAGGCCATCTGTCACCCTAGCACAAGCAGGCCGGGGTGGCGGCGAGCGCATTGCGAAGCGCGCTCGCTTCCAGGGAGCAGAGGGAACATGGGGTTCCCACACAGGGGGGGGGGGGGTCGTATACTT